TCTAAATCAGATGTATGTTGACTGCCCATTTTAACTTAGTAAATTTCCAACTTGCAGTTAGAAAAATATCTTTGCTGTTTCTCCTTGAAGTTAAACAGGGTCATAAACATAACCCTGTCACTCATGACAGTGATGTGCAATGCAGAAAACCCTAGGGTAGTAAAAGTTAATTAACATACTTGACTGTAGAAGAAGAATACTGCTGACTCTCACAATATCTTTCGTGAGATTTACTGTTCTCAGTCAACTAGACAAACATTACAGAAAATACTACAAAATTATGACTGAAAGCAACCATATATTATTCTAAGGTTAAAAACTTAAAGTGGAGTTAAGGTTGTAAATACACCTCTACCCCAATATAACGCGACCCGATATAACACAAATTCTGATATAACGCGGTAAAACAGTGTTCCGGGGGAGGAGGGAGGCTGCGCACTCCGGCGAATCAAAGCAAGTTTGATATAGCGTAGTTTCACCTATAACGCAGTAACATTTTTTTGGCTCCCGAGGAAGGTGTTATATCGAGGTAGAGGTGTATCTATTAATTACTTAAAGGAACAGAGAGATCCTGTAGAGATGCATAGTAGTTTTCTCAGAAAACACAAATGTTAGCCTTTGTAGTCAAAGATAAGGTTACTCTTAAGGGGGGAAAGGTATGGAAAAGGATAGCTAAGATCAGCAAAAGCTCATGCACAATAGTAGAATGTGACTCCAGGTCTGAAGACTGTGTATCTGAATTGGATCAGGGTCATTGTTACTTCTCCTTTAAGGTGCCATGGGTAGCTCAGTCAATATAGTGATAACTCTTAATTTTAAGGTAGCTGGTTTGAACTCCATGTTGAGAACGTACCTCAGGCTCTCTGTGGAAAGGTTTATTTAAATTCTCTGGCCTGTATTATACAGGAGGTCACAGGTGAGTTGATGTAAGGGTCCTTTCTGGCCTTAATCCATGCAACAAGAAACCTTTGTCTCCTCCTACCCTGCATATCCAATTCCAAGCTGCTTATGAAGCAGACTTTTTGATGAAGGAAACTTTAATCAGGGGATCTAAGAAGTTTGCCATCTGTGGATTGTATTTAAGATGACTTATTCACCTGAACAGATGATCACTGAATTAATGTAGGGTCGTGCTATGTGATTACGATTGTTGCAGGAGGCAGGTGTATGTTTGTTTTTCCTTAACTTTGTCTCTGTCTGTCTTCAGGTCTTATACTGCTTTCTATCACTGTAGTATCTGAGAGCCTTTCATGTAAAATTGATAGCGCTATTTAAGTCCTTACTTGCCTTCATGGAGTCTCTGGTGCTTCTCCCCTTTCAGGTTACAAATTCTGCTTGGGGTTGGGGTTTTTATTTTATTAAATATTATTAATTTACATTTTTGGTGTGGTGAAAATCTCAACCACGCTGTCACTGTAGTGTTCTTCATTTGTATAAATACATAAAAATACTTGTACAGCTATCTTTCATCATATAGGGGAGAGATGTTGTTTTATACTATAGTGCTGACAAACTATTCTACAGAAAGATAATTAACAGTCTGAAGTAAGTTTTCAGTTAATATAATTTTATTAACATCATGCTAAAGATGGCAAACGGCTATGAGAGTTCAAATATTGAAGTGATTGTATCTCCAAAATGAATTTATGATTATAAAATTATTACTAGCAAGGTAGATTTTACATTTCTGTAGGTTTCTGAATCCAGCTCTTGTACTTTGTTTCCTTGTATAAAGTTTGATTCTGATTTATTATCATGACCAATTACCATTTCAGCAATTCTTGCGTAACTGTAGAAAGGGCATATACCTATGCTAAAGGTAAACTAGCGTGGATTTAAAAATAAGCTTTTGAAATGTATGGTGGATTCTTCAACTACTTAAACAAAGAGCGTGCTATCACGTTCACACTTTTCAGACTGCTTTAGATTGTGTAGTTTGATCTCCCTCTGCAGCAGTTGCTGTGTCTGAGGGCAGCCTGGAAGTATCTTTCACATAGGTTATGGACTCGATGGCTGTGACCTATAAATCACTTAATTATATAGATTTTTCTCTTGGACTCATGTAATCTCAGTTTTATTGTTTGTTTGCAACCACAGCTTAAAACATGAAGGGTTTCTTTCTGTTCCGTTACACTTGTGGACTTATAATTTTGAAAGAAGTGTTGCAGTTTTTGGATTTCTTTTGTCAGAAAAGGTTTCCGTTTAAAGTTGTGGATTTAAGTCTAGAAATTTGGCCACTGAGGTCCAGTGGGACTTCATTGGGGGCATGCTTGGGGACTTACCTTGAGTCTAAGACCCGGTTTACACACACAGCTGCATGAGTTACATTAAATTAGTGTTTAAAGCTTTTAAGTTTAAATTGTAAATGAACACATGCATTGGTGCTGTTGGTCAGTGAAATTAACGTTAGGCCACGTGAACTTTGGTAAACATGTGACTGTTGTGTTTGATATACTGTAGTTAATAGGTTTGAGAATACAAACCAACCTGTTTGCTGTGGTGTCCATATAAACACCTATTTGATCAGTGTACTATTGATTTATAAATGTTGATCTTTGTATTTTATATCTATTATAGTACATGTGGACTGGGTATATGTCCTTTATTTAAAGGACAAATTTATACTTGCCCTTATGGTAAGGGATAGCTTATAACTGACTGAACAAATTTTAAACATTTCTTCCTCTTTGGCAGTGACTACATTGTTTTTTGTTTTCTCTGATATTTGCATATTGGTGAAGTATCCCATTCCCAAGCAAGCTACAACACTGGCTTGAAGAGTACACAAAAATGTGGTTAGAATTTACAATGTAGACTTACACACTTCCTAAGAGGTTCTGTGAGTATGTGTGTTGGGAGGGGAAGGAGCTGAAGAAAAAAATGTGTAAATAGTCCTTTTCAGATCTTGAAATAAAAGAAATCTCACTTCTGGGTAGTTTAATGGTTGTGCAAACAGTAAAGAGTCTATTTTTTAAATGAAAGTACCCAGAACATCTTATGGAAAAGCTTGGGGTTTGTAATGATGTGGACCTCCATCATCTTAATCATTCCAGAAATGATATGTTAAAAGGCCTGTTGTCTCTATTTGGCAGACATTTCAGTGCCAAATCAGTTTCTTAATGATCTTCCCAAAATGCAAATTCTCGAAGTACGCTTCTGCCGAAAGCTTTGATGCGTTAGAGCTTGTAGGTAAGTACCGCAGGCTGCTCAGTTCTAATGCCAAATGGCATTTTGAATAATGTTACTTATGAGCTTTTGAATAGCAGTTGTTCTCTGATGACTTGTAGTGTCTGAAATTTCCCTGGTTTAACTAAGTAACATTATATAGAGCTTTGCATAGTCAGTGTTGTGCTGATACAAAATAGAGATGGGCCTGAACCAAAAGCCTGGATCCAGACATCCATTGTCAGAATAATCTAAATCCAGATCTGAGTTTTGCAAATGACTCCAATTGTGATAACAGGCCAAACAGAAGCTCCAGAGCTGAACTCCTGAACATTATTACCAAGTTACCACTTGTTTTGGTTCCTGACCTTAACCACAAGAACTAACCGCTATCTGCTGTTCTTCTTTCAGCTAAAGCAGTTCAACGATAGAAGGCCTTAGAGCAGTGTTGGTCATTTACTAGCCCACAGACCAGATCTGGCCACAAAGGCCTTCCATGTGACAGGCTGGGTGTCAGCTGTTCTGTCCTGCTCCATGCAGGGGGCTCTACTGTAAAGGCAGCCCTGCTACCTGGCTCCAGCTCCACCCTGGGCTCCACTGCTGGTCCTGGCTGCAGTGTCCCCATGCTGACCCGCCCTTGAATATCGTCCCTCCCCTGCCCTTGAATATCGTCCCTCCCCTGCCCCCAGGCCGCCCTGTGCCAGTTCAGAGTATGCTTTGCATCTGGGGAGGGAAAGGGCCTGCTTGGCAGGGGCTGGAGCTGTGTGGAGATTTGGACATTGCCGCATGGGCAGCTCCTCTGCCAGGCAGCCCTTTTCGCTCGTGCCTGCAATGCGTCCTCCGAGCTGACATGTGCTGGCCTGGGCATGGAGGCATGCAAAGAAGTTGACACTGGGACCAGGAGCAGAGTACAGGGGCTACAGCTGCTGGGAGTCCAGGCCACAGCCAGAGCTGAGTAGCAGGACCATCCTTGGTCAGAGCTGGTAGGAGCCTGGGGTGGAGCTAGAGCTGAGTAGCGGGGCTGTCCTTGGCTAGATGGGGAGCCCGGTAGCAGGAGTCCCCTTATATCCCCTTATAGCAGAGTCCTGAGCTGGATGTAGGCAGGGGGAAGTGGGGATGGGACAGGTTCTAGGGAAGTTGCCCCCTCTTCCCCTGGGCTTCTCCCAGCTACCCCGGCACATGCAGTAATAAGGAGGCTCTTTTCTTCTGCAGCTACTCCCCCCTTCTTCTCGCCGCCATTGGACCGAAAATCCTGATTACCCAAATGAGCATGGGGGGAGGAGGGCACATTGCTTATTCAGATAATCATGATGTTTGAGTGAAATTCTGCTAAACAGATCTCACCTGTACATGGCATGACACTAAGCAGAAGGCAAATAAACTGAAGTGCATCCCAAAGCATGCCCCTGATTGGACTAGAAGTCTGCATGCTATTCAAAAATCAGCCAACATGCCAGCTTTGGCGCACATCTATAGGTAGCCAATCCCTGCCAAGAAGAATTGACATGCTTTTACTAGAGTGCAAACACCTGCAGAACTCTTTGCGCCCCCCCCTCCCCCCCCCAAGATTTGGACATGGCCTTTTCTGGCCCCCCAGAAAATGCAAGTAAATACCATTGCCTTAGAGGTAGCACTTCTTGGTGTTGCTGCAGTTTATTTTGCCACATATTTATTTCACATTAAATGCTTCACATTATGCATTTGAATTGCTTAGAAGTAGTACAGTCTTTAGAAAGCCAAAGAGCTGGTCTTACCTACTTTCTTGTTCTGTTTTATACCCTTTAATATTTTCCCTCCTTCACCTATAACTGCATGTCACCAAACTTCCTTGACAGGACTCTGACCGACGATATGAAGAAGAATGCTGTAGAGAGAAAAGAAAGAGTGAAAAGAGAGAGAGACATCAAAGTCGCAGTCGCAGCCAGTCTCGGGACAGAGACAGCCACTACAGTTCCAGCAAATCTAAAGACAAATACCGAGGAGAGCTTTGGGAAAGAGAGCGTGATAAAAAGAGAGAGAGAAGCAGAAGTCCTAAGAAATCCAAAGATAAGGAGCGGTCCAGATACAGATGATGAAATACCCTTTTCTTTCTATATTTGTATAATGCATTGGAAACTGCAGGTACCAGAGCAAAGCCAATGCTTCTTGGTCTTTCAATTCCAGGAGTGCCCAGTGTACATGTGTAACGTTTGATAGCGTAGAATATTGCTGATTCTGGATGACTGTTCTCAATAAAGGATTTTGTATTTTATGTATATTTCTTTGCTATTTCACTACAGGGCTAAAAGCTGCAGTGTAGAAGTTTGGGCTTGGTCTGGAGCCCAGGCTCTGAGACCCTCCCCCATCACCAACCCACACGCAAATGTCTACACTGCAGTTTTTAGCCCTGCACCCTGAGCCAATTGGCCCAAGCTCTGAGACTCAGTGCCGTGGCTTTTTTGTTGCAGTGTAGCCATACCCGGAGACACCCACAGCTAGGAACAGTGATCAGTCGTGGTGCGATTCAGCACATGGTATTACAACAGACTGTCCAGCGTGGGACTGACTGGGACAGTGTGGTTTTCTCAGAGCCCTAAGAAATACAAGAGAAATGGGTTTTGTCTATCACTTCCTGTTTTGCTGTAAGAAAATCCATTCCTTGAAAAAGGTTCTCTTGTCTGGACGACAGAAATGGCTGCTTTTTTCACCATGTGTCAAGTAAACACTTAAAACTATTAACACATCTAATTCTTATTCTTAATGCTTGCTGTAACTGAAGTTAATGTGTTGAAGAGAGATGGCTTGATGATCTTGGATACTCTTGATCCATAGCACAGATTAGTGTCAGTGCAAACTTTCCATTCTGCCTTTCCAATGTGCACAAGTCACTGTACTCAATACAGAGGTAACAGAATAATTACTGGAGCACAGGGGACTGGACTAGATGATCAGTTTAAGGTCCCTTCCAGTCGTACACTTCTATGATTTAAATATAGATGTAGGTATCTAAATTTAGGAGATGCCAAATGGGGCTGAGAAATTCTGGCATACTTACCTCAATTCCCAGCATGTCTCACTATGTGAAGGCTGCTATTCTGGAAAATATCCAAACTCTTCCTGCTACAAGCATGAAGTTCTAAGCACTATGAGATAGATGGAATCCACTGCTATGATCGTGTTGTCTGGTGCTTTCAGAAGTAATGTTACTGTGTAGATGAACTGACCTCTGTTGCAAGGTCAGCTGAAACAACCAACCATTTCACACCATTGCTGTCCTGGCTGTGGTTTTGTGGCTTAGTATAGAGAGAGTCTTCTTTTAATAAGAGGCCATAATCGTGCCCTGTATATCCAGCTTCACAGCTTCCTAAGAAAGTTGACTCATTCTACTCATGTTGAGTTCATACTTCCCTACTGTTGTTTCATTTTTGTCAGAGCTATGGTAGCTTCAACCTCAGGATTAATATTGACACTTGATGAGCATGGTATTTAAATTATCCATTTCCCTGGTAATGTTGATTGTAAAACCAAAAACCTCAGAGCAGAAACCTCAGCTTCTTTACCTTCACTTAGCTGTGGCTGTGACGTCTTTTCAAGGGGAGTTTTTCAGACACTCCAGTGCATCGGTGCAGTTTTCTGAGCTCAAGTTTTGGGGGGGGTTTCTTCTTCCCTTTTCCTTAAATAGCTTTAAAGTACTGTAGCATACTCTCAAGTATCTTATTCCATGGTGGGAGGGGAGAGGGAGTTATGGATCTAAGTTTCAATGGGGCTTCAAGTCCTCTGCTTTTGTCCACATGCAACTTTGTAGACACCTTTCTACATACTCATGCCACCTTTTTAACAGCTGCACACACAGGTGAGACCATGTTTGTTCAAACCCCTCATCACCTGCCAATGCTGGTGTTAATGCACTAAAAATGTTTGCAGGAGGCCAGGGTCTCAAAGGCCTAAGGTTACACCTTTGACATATTGGTGGGGAATGCCACCAAAATGTGCATGTGCTTTAATCGAGTAACCAGCTGATCTTAGGGTGAGGAAAGATAAGAGACACACCAATATCATCTCCCCATGGCTTGTTACTGTCAGGACTAAAATTAGTCTCTAATCCTGCAATTGAGAGCATACTGTCAAGTATAATATCAGAGCCGGAGACTGTAAGCTCTTTGGGGCAGGGAGCTAGTTCTGGAAAGCGCCTAATACCCTGATGGCTAAAAACAATCTGAAAAATGTTAAATGACAGTAGCTTACTCAAATGCTTGTTGTATATAATATGTTGTCTGAACATCTTTGCTCTAGCTACTGTCAGATTTTTGTTTTGTTTGAAGTGATGGTCTTAATGTAATGCATTGTGCCTGCATTAAAAAAGCAACCATGAATTTTGTAGGTGTTATGACAAATCTTTAAAGCTGAATGATGTTTTCAGGAGCGCTTAAGAAATCTCGGGTTGACTAGCAATAAACTTTTCAACTTGAAGCTTGTTTGGGACTTTTTGGTTGAGAGTGAGGTGCTTAAGTTAGTATGATAGAAAACTCTGAGGAATAAGAACAACTCAGCTATAAAAATAGGAATAAAATCTGTTCTGATAGCTCTTTAAAGCACTGGTGCAACAACAGTTTAAAAAAAAATTCTGGCCATGTTCTGATAGATCTTGCAATGGGGTCATAACATTTTCCAAGAAGTCTAAGAATTTTCTGCTTCTGGAAAGGGGGTTAGGCAGTGTGCATCCTGATGGCATCAAAAGATCTTTTTAAAACCTCCTATACCTGTGTAGTGCAGCTGCTGGCAAGGGCCTGGGCCTGAAATAGTTACATTCTGGTCGTATGAGTTTAGTAGCTCTCTCTCATTCATGTTTGTAGTTTTGCTGGGTGCAGGCCAAATTATATCCAGCCAGGCTAGGGAAGAGCTTTCCTCTCTATTCTGACTAATCACCACTTTCTATAGCCTTTTATGTCCCCCTTGGTTGACTAAATGCAGCACTTTGTTTGGAGAGAGGCAGCCTACATCCAATGCTGTGGGTGCCACTGCTCCATAAATTGGTTGAAAGAGCTAAGTGCCTGTCATGCAATCCCTCAGACTGCACCAGATTTATGGCAAAGTATTCTCTTTTTTGAAACAGGTGGCATGGGCCAGCACAGGGTTGCTTGTAGCTGTAACACTGCTAATCCAAAGGGGCTATCTGATTTGCTAATGGAATACTATTTTGCTGTCACCAGTGGAGGAAGGTGACTGTCATTTTGCAATTTAAGAAACCAAACAGTTTTACCTAGTGATAGTATTGCCAGTGAAAGTTCCACAGTCACTTCCTGTCATCAGCAGGTGGCCTGAATCAATGCGGGTTTGGCCAAACTCCATCTTGCTTCCAGAAGTATCTTAGATTTGCTATAAACTGACATGGCACCCAGAGACTCCCATTGACTTCAGTGGGCTTTGGGGTCAGGCCCTAATGTTAGATCCTGCCATTTAGAATCTCTTTGCTCAGAACCCACAGTCTTAGCCAATATTGCATATACTTATGATTGAACACTCTGCCTTAGTAATACACTTACAAATGAGAAGGTAAAGCCAAGACATTTTAATTCAAGTCCAAGGGTGAAATTCCATCCCCATATGAGTCGATGGTAATTTTACCATTGACTTCAGTGGGGCCTGCATTTCACTCGAGGAATCTATACCAAGAATGTACACAGTCCTCTAAGACCATAGGTACAATTGAGGAAGTTGCATAAAAATCTGTCAGCTACCCAATAGCAGTGTCAAACATGAGCTACTTTGGGTTCAGGCTGGTAAAACATTCTTCTGGGGGAAGATACTGGCTGTTTCACAACACAGTAAATTCCCAAATCCAAAAACCATCAGCCTCAACAGGGGAATGTCTACTAGTCCTTGTCTCTATGAGAAAGTTCCAGCAAAGAAATTTTGGTCAAAGAAATGCAATGCTTTAGCTAAATAAACTAAGGTTCATTGTTACTTCTGTGGTACTGGGGATGGAATGGGCAATAACAACACTATGAGCTAATATCGCAGTCTTTGCTGTACTGTTACAATGAATGAGAAAATAGCCTGATGCCATCATGAGTGATACTAATGGAGTCTGTTTTTTAATTACAGTTACACTTCTAACTGGTGGGCTTGTCATGGGACAATAGCTGGTGTTTTGAAAGTTTAGAATTGCAAAAACATGAGGGGGGAAAAATCCCTTTCCGCTATTGCACTGTGCGATATAAGGCACAGATTGTGCTGCAGCTATGTGTAGTCAGAAACGCTTTTCAAAAAAAACAACCCAGGCACTGTTTCACTATTACTTCATCACAGTAAGAGTTTTTATCATTCTTTTAAAAAAAAAAAAAATCTGCAGTCACCAGGTACTGGAATGAGTTTCTGGGTTTTACAGTAACAGAATGGCAAGGGAATTATTGATTTCATATTATGGCTGTGCCAAAAGATGCCTAGCAGGCTTGGGCCCTGTTCTGCTCGGTGCTGTACATACAAAGAGGAGACAGACCCACAAGCTCATTTAAGAGCACCTGTATAGCACCTGTGTGTAATGAACAACTAGGACAGCCTTGAGAAGGTAGTGCAGGCTAATAGCATAGGGTCACATGGCTGTGTGCACAACATGGTGGGCCTGGGTCAGTTAAAGTTGAAGTTTTATAAATAAAATAAATATCCACACTGGCCATAAAATGCAGACTAGGGTTGAGACCTTATTGTGTGACAATGACAGAGCAGGCTTCCTTCTTGATTGTTTTTCATCCCACCCCCCTCTGCAGCAGCCGGGGCCCAGGCTCCCACGGGAGCCAGCTGCAGCAACTTCAGTGCTTCAGAGATTCAATCCATCTGAATTATTGGGACCCCCATAGCTACCAACCGTCCCTGCTGATATCTCCCCTAGGCTAGGTCCCTGCCAGTGAAGTTTCAGGCACAGTGGTTTGGTTATGGTGGCATTCGGAGTGAGATGCAAGAACTCCAATTTATAGTGGGAAGGCAGCTCCCACCATAGGTTTGGAGAGCATAGTGTGTCTACATGAATGTGAGAGTTCAGGAATCCTTCAGTAAAGAGCTCTGTGTTTATCTGTGATGGCCTAGTGAATTGCCTTTTTTAACAACTATTTTATCGTAGTCCTGCTGAGCAGCTCCTCTACACCACTGACACACCTGGATAAGGACTTGTAGGATGTGGGTCATTAGGAACTGAAACAAAATGGGGAATTTGGGAGACAGTGTGGTGGACAAATCATTCTTTACTTTCTCCCCTCCCCCCATGTCAGGCAGATA